CAGTCTAATACAAGCATGTCAAACTCAAATCCTAACACAGGAAAAATAAAAAAGTAATAAGATTATGTGGGCCGCAAAAAAAGAAAACAAGTAATTAAATTTTTATAGTAACATTTATGTAGGTTTATTTTAAAAAATACTAATAAGAAAAAAGAAAGTAAAGTTAATATTTCCTCCCTGATATTTGGCATCTCTTTTCTGCTACCATCTTTCCTACTTCGGGGGAAATCTTGTTCGCAGTGATTAATTTTAAAACTGACCCAAGGTGAACGTCAGTAATTCTCGGTCTGATTGGAGACTTATTTCCTTTCATAAGTGAAAATAACTGCTCGCACCGATAAGTACTTCCAAACATGGACATAATTCCATATGCTAATTTTCGAGTGTTTTCAAATCTGGCTGGCAAATATTTGTAAAATTCAGAAACGCCAACTTCAATGAATTTTTCCTTTAAATCTGAATCGCACTGGATATCTATTACCTCCATTTGCATATGATTAGGTACTGATTCTATATTTATCGAGAAAATCGAATAAAACAAAGTAAACTTGCCTTCCAAAGATTTGAAATCAGAAAACCTTGTTTCAAATTCATTTCTAAGACTTAAAAATTTTTCCGCATATTTTTGATACGATGCAGTTTCACCTAAACTTGATTTGTACATGTTGCATGTCGGAAAGTGCATTAAATCTTCGTTTTTCAACTGCTTTTCCCAAAGAACTAGCTTACATTTGAATGCATTAACTTGGTCACACATGTTGGTAATGATCTGATCCTTTCCTTGCAGTTTCAAATTTAAATCCGACAAGTGTTTTGTTATGTCAACCATGAAGGAAAAATCTTGCAGCCATACTTGATCAGAAAACAAAGTGATGTCTTGATTCTTGGTTTTTAAAAACTGACATATGTCTTCTTTCAAGTCCCAAATTTGTTTGAGAACCTTGGAGCATGATAGCCAACGTACCTCGGTATAGTATGATAAACCTGAATATTCGCTTTCTAATTCAGTTAAGAACAGAGATAACTGTCGCTGATTTAAACCTCGAGATCTTATGAAATTGATGAATTTTTTGATAGGTGTCAACACATTTTCCATTATTATTACCTTCGTACATAATACTTCCTGATGTATAATGCAATGCGTATAATGAATATTGGAACCATCAGAAATTTCACTTAGTTTTTTTCGCAGTAATGCTACGAAACCGATGGATGGATAATAATAATAATATAATAATAATAATTATTATTATTATTATTATCATTAGATAATGATAATGATCATAATGATGATGTGCGCGCATCCGTGACAGAACCCATGACGGTCGTGACTATATATGTTGATAATAATAATAATATAATAATAATTATTATTATTATTATCATTAGATAATGATAATGATCATAATGATGATGCGCGCGCATCCGTGACTGAGGCCGATGAGGAAAGACGGTCGTGACTATATATATTAATAAATGAGTTTTAAAAATTGTAAAAAAAAATGCATCGGCCGGGAATCGAACCCAGGGCGTCCGCGTGGCAGGCTAGCATTCTACCACTGAACCAAAAGCAAACGGTGACAGAAGTGTCTCGCGCATTGGCGGCACCAAATGATGGGGGGGGGGCAAAGGTGGCGTGATCGTAGCCGACCAATAGGAGGACGCCGGCAAACCGTGACAGAGGCCATGACGCTCGTAACTGTATATAGAATGCTATTAGTGTACCAAAATTATATAACATTAAACGTCATTATGAACAACATAAATCAAAATACGATACCTACGAAGGTTTAATGAGACAAGAAAAGTTAAAAGAGTTCAAGTTGGGAATGAAAAAACAACAGTTTATGTTTACTAAAGTATCACAAGAGAGTGAAACGGCGGTGCATGCAAGCTACGTTTTATCGGAGATGATAGCTAAACACTCAAAACCTTTTACTGAAGGTGATTTCATCAAGGAATGTTTAATTAAAGCTGCAGAAATTGTTTGTCCTGGAAGTGTGAAGACGTTTCAAGCAATATCTTTGTCTCGAAATACCGTTGTGGAAAGAGTTACTGATATGGCCAGAAATTTAAATGATCAGATAAAAGAAAAATCATCTTGTTTCGAAGCATTTTCCATTGCCTGTGATGAGAGTACGGACATTGGGGGCGTAGCTCAGTTAGCTGTTTTTTTTTTTCGAGCTTGCGACACGGATTTCAACATTTTTGAGGAATTATTGGAACTAGTACCGATGCATGGCACTACTACAGGAGAAGATATATTTAATTGCGTTTATGATCTTCTGCAAAAATACAATTTACCTCAATCAAAATTGACTTCTGTAGCAACAGATGGAGCTCCTTCAATGACTGGAAAAACCAACGGTTTCGTAGCATTACTGCGAAAAAAACTAAGTGAAATTTCTGATGGTTCCAATATTCATCATACGCATTGCATTATACATCAGGAAGTATTATGTACGAAGGTAATAATAATGGAAAATGTGTTGACACCTATCAAAAAATTCATCAATTTCATAAGATCTCGAGGTTTAAATCAGCGACAGTTATCTCTGTTCTTAACTGAATTTGAAAGCGAATATTCAGGTTTATCATACTATACCGAGGTACATTGGCTATCATGCTCCAAGGTTCTCAAACAAATTTGGGACTTGAAAGAAGAAATATGTCAGTTTTTAAAAACCAAGAATCAAGACATCACTTTGTTTTCTGATCAAGTATGGCTGCAAGATTTTTCCTTCATGGTTGACATAACAAAACACTTGTCGGATTTAAATTTGAAACTGCAAGGAAAGGATCAGATCATTACCAACATGTGTGACCAAGTTAATGCATTCAAATGTAAGCTAGTTCTTTGGGAAAAGCAGTTGAAAAACGAAGATTTAGTGCACTTTCCGACATGCAACATGTACAAATCAAGTTTAGGTGAAACTGCATCGTATCAAAAATATGCGGAAAAATTTTTAAGTCTTAGAAATGAATTTGAAACGAGGTTTTCTGATTTCAAATCTTTGGAAGGCAAGTTTACTTTGTTTTATTCGATTTTCTCGATAAATATAGAATCAGTACCTAATCATATGCAAATGGAGGTAATAGATATCCAGTGCGATTCAGATTTAAAGGAAAAATTCATTGAAGTTGGCGTTTCTGAATTTTACAAATATTTGCCAGCCAGATTTGAAAACACTCGAAAATTAGCATATGGAATTATGTCCATGTTTGGAAGTACTTATCGGTGCGAGCAGTTATTTTCACTTATGAAAGGAAATAAGTCTCCAATCAGACCGAGAATTACTGACGTTCACCTTGGGTCAGTTTTAAAATTAATCACTGCGAACAAGATTTCCCCCGAAGTAGGAAAGATGGTAGCAGAAAAGAGATTCCAAATATCAGGGAGACAATATTAACTTTACTTTCTTTTTTCTCTTATTAGTATTTTTTAAAATAAACCTGGCCTCCCATGCTTACCCTTCTGTACTTGGCCTGTGGTGCAGTGGATATTGTTGGGAGGTACAGTAAACCCTCTACATGATCAAGTCTTGTTCTGGTAGACTTGATGCTGTAACCAGGAGGGACACTCACTCAGTTCAACTGACTCGGTTGATGGACCTCAGGAAGGGTCCCACTCCAGGGATATGGAAGAGCTGCGTCTGTACTCATGTCAGAGTCAGCAGCAAAGGCTTCCATGTTAGGAACGGCCTCAAACTACAGGCAAAGTCAGACTTTCACCAAAGTGTGCCTGGATCATAGTGTCATGATCAAAGAAAGCTGCACCCCTATACCCCATTCCATGAGATCATGAACTCATGGAATTCGTGTAATCTTTACACAAGGGGATAAGAAACAACAACAACAACAAAATAAACCTACATAAATGTTACTATAAAAATTTAATTACTTGTTTTCTTTTTTTGCGGCCCACATAATCTTATTACTTTTTTATTTTTCCTGTGTTAGGATTTGAGTTTGACATGCTTGTATTAGACTGAAATTTTTTGTTATATATGTCCTGAAATTGTTATAGTAAATAGGTATTTTAATGTTTTAAGTAGTACTACAAAGATATATTTCTAATTTTTTTAATAGGTGTAAATTTTACATCTATGAAACAAATTGTGAAGATTTTCTGAATTCCTTATGTATCTAATGAAATCAAAGCTTGGCCCGGACTGATCAGTTCTGAGTTTTTCAAAACACATCGACCCGAGTCTTCTAGATTGCAGAGGCTGGCAATAGATAAAGTCTATTTTGACTGAAGAGGAAACCATTTTTTTAGACAATGCCTTAAATTACTTGGTTCAAAAGGGCATTAAAATTATTTGCGAAAAAATAGAAGAAAAATTTGCTTATAACATGTGGTTATAGCGAAATTCAACTACAAATATCGATTATTTGAAAACTAGATAAAGGGCCAATATGCAAATGGGTGTCAATATGTAAGAATAGATTCTTTTTAGCAAAAGCGTGCGGTTTTCCTTTTTTCAAATAAAGAAACTATAACTTACTGTCTTTTATTAATATTTTAAAAAATATTAGGAGGGGTCATCATCGATTTCACCAGTTTTGAACACCAATATATGTGTCCAATAATTTATGATTTAATGAGAGACAATAATAATTAAAATATGCACACATTTAGATAGATATTTGCCTTTCTTTGACTGCTTGAGCGTACAAATATTCCCAATTGTATGAGAAATCAAAAATCTTATTTTAGAATTGTGGAATATTATATTCTAGAGATATATATATATACTAGCCGAATGACCCGGGCAACGCCCGTGTTTTGCCCGACTGTAGATGTTACAACGGTGATCCTTAGGTCTCTGGTTCAAATCCGGCTCGAGGGAGCCGGCGAGCACGTGACCTCCCTGTGCGCGCGCATCCGTGACAGAGGCCGATGAGGAAAGACGGTCGTGACTATATATAGGGATACATTTTGTGTAGAAATAGGATTAGTTGACTTAATAAGGTAAACTTATTCATACAGTTTGTGTCCCTCGATAGCTCAGTTGGCAGAGCGGAGGACTGTAGATGTTACAACTGTGATCCTTAGGTCGCAGGTTCAAATCCGGCTCGAGGGAGTTTTTTTTTTTTTATTATTTTTATTGGCTGCCGGCGAGCACGTGACCTCCCTGCGCGCGCGCATCCGTGACAGAGGCCGATGAGGAAAGACGGTCGTGACAATATATAGAGATAAACATTAAAACCGTTGTATATTGGATGGGTTGAGGATATGAATATGAAAAATCAGAAGAAATGGGATAGGAAACATTTGAAATATAATCTGGAGGAGAATGGAAAGAATACGATGGGATGATTCCGAATGCAGAAGTTTTGGGATATAATTGGGAGAGTAACATGGCCTGTTGAAGGTCATCCTGAAAAATTGGAGGATACATTTCTTAAAAGAATTTAATTGAAGAAAGTTCATGGGGGAGGAGGGGGTTAAATGAATAGAAAGAAAAAAAAGTAAGAATTGGACTGATGGGGAAACTATGAAGAGAAGTACTCAAGATAGACGCTGGAGACCAAGAATTTTCTCAGCAGAGCAAAGAATATTAAAAACAAAAAAAAAATTAAAGCCTCTGATAAGATACCCCCTCCCTCCCCCCAATTTTGTCGAATCCAAAGTTTAAACTAACCTGACATAACCTAATCATCAAGAGTGATTAATATTCTATATTACAGGGTGTCCCAAAATAACTGAGTTAATGTTTAATTTGTCCTAAAACGAAAATATTGAATCGTAATAAATGAATATATGCTTTGTTGGATTCTCCATGTTTTTATGTACCATTATGTTAAGTTTCGACTTTGTTCTAACTTATTTTGTCGTGTTTTTAGGATGTCAAACAAACTTTGTGCAATTATTGCGATGTTTCGTTAAAAGAAAACGTCAATGTGAAATTGTTCGGCTGCTCAAAGTGCCTCAACAAACTCTGTCCAAGGCCATTCATCGCTTCAATGAGTTTGGTCATGAAGGCGACCGTGCCGGAAGAGGAAGAAAGCGCACCGCCAACCGTAAGATCATCCAAAAGCGACATTAACGAAATTCGAGGGTGCCCATGAGAAAAATCGCCCGTGAGACTGGCATAAGCAAGTCATCGGTACATCGAATAGCGAAAAAGGAACTCAACCTCAAGACGTACAATCTCCAAATAGTTCATTTCCTCACGGATGAGAACACGGCTGGAGGCAACTCAAGCATCGGGCCACTAGTCAGCGATGGGAGCGCATCCTATTCACGAACGAAAAGCTGTTCACCCTCGAGCAGGCGCACATCCACCAAAACGACAGGAGCTGGTCCGCTGAGGCTCCCGGCACGTCGGCCATCGTCGAACACCGCCAAAATCCGCAGTCGGTTATGTAATGGGTCGGGATTTTCGCTAGTGAAAAGACCCCCCTCGTTTTCGTGGAATAGGGAGTCAAATAAATCAAGAAGTGTATCACCGCGACATTCTCGAGGCCATCGTACTCCCGTGGGCTCAACAGCACTTCGGCGATGCGGATTGGACGTTTCTGCAGGACTCCTAGCCGGCTCACAAGGCGAAATTAACTCATGACCGATGCAGGGCCCATTTTTCCAGACTTCATTACGTCGTCGGAATGGCCGCCCTACTCACCTGATCTCAGCCCGATGGATTACAGCGTGTGATACATTTTGCAAGCCAGGGCCTAGCCGACAAATGTTTGAAGTCACTGAAGTGATCGCTGCGAGAATGGGACCGATTGTCGCCGTAGGACCTGTGGCCGAAAATTTCAAGTCACGTTTGGACCTGATTATCGCCGCCAAGGGAGGCCATCTTTAAAACCGGCTGAATAAATTACTAGTTAGTATTCAATATTTTTTATGCATTGTTATTTTGTTTAATAAAATTATGACTAAAAATGTTTAACGTAAAGATAGAGGCTGCCTGGCCGGAATTCATTTTTCTTGAAAATAAAGAAACTTCGGCCAGTAAATATTTTTATTACCTTTAGATTTACTGGTCGAAGTATCTTTATTTTCAAGTAAAATGTTTAGCCCCGTTATTATGGAACATCCTGTATATTTCTTAAAATTAAAGATACTTCGGCTATTATTCATATAATTTTTAACGCTTTGCCAAATGTTTTAATTTTTTGTTCCCTCCTGACGAGGACAAAAGATTTTTGTCGAAATAATAAAAAGATTTAATGGACAAGGTATCTTTAATTTTAATGACTATGAATGTCTGCCAGGCAGCTTCTATCCTGTATATTGTCAAGAAATTTACTTTTTTATAATAAATTAAAATAAATATGTATGTATTGTCTGATTTGGCAACGCCACGAAATCAGACGACGCACGTACTGTCTCTTTTTTTTTTTCGGTAAACAAGAACTATTTTGGACACATTTTTAATATATAATTGTATATATTTTTATATTTTTAAATTTAAATTTAAGTATATATATACTAGCCGAATGACCCGGGCAACGCCCGGATTTTACCCGATTAAATGCTTTTATTCAAATACTATTCGTTACAATTATAAATTGGCGCCGTGGATGTCATTCTTGTGAAACGTCCCGCTCCAAACTTTGTGTCTGAGAAGCGATATTTTTATAAAGAGATGATCTGGCTTTGTGTCTTCTGCTCGAATGAATGTTTTTCTGTTAGAATTTTGTTCCTGCATACTAAAAATGAACTGGTTTCACCCGTGGTCTCTGCTTTTTGGAATTTTTCCGGATATAATTTTGTATCTGATAATCAAATATGATTCACCAATATTGTCATCATCATTTTCTGAATAAAAAACAACTATTTTTTTCCCAGAACCTGTCAATTTATTTTTCTTGATTAAAAATCCGAAAAATATATTTTCCAGATTTTTCTCTATGTCCTGTTAAAACACGTTTTACATGTCCATTAGGTCAGCTGATATTACCTCCCATCTTCACCGCTAGAGGCGCTGCTTGCGAGTGAAAGGGCAAATTTGCAACACAATTTTCAAATAACTTGTATACATACTTGTATACTTGTGTACATAGACCATAAATCTGTACATAGACAAGAAAAGCACATATATTTTAATAATATAAATGAGAGAGTTTTAAAAATTGTAAAAAAAAAAAAAATGCATCGGCCGGGAATCGAACCCGGGGCGCCCGCGTGGCAGGCGAGCATTCTACCACTGAACCAAAAGCAAACGGTGACAGGATTGTGCATGACTGATACTTGTATATTTTAATATTAATTATTTGTAGGCGTAATTAAATTCGAATTTAATATCTACGTCGTAACAGCATAAATTGAAACAACGTATTCAATAATTCAAACAACATATCCAATTACAAAAGAGATTTTAAAAAAATTATTTTTTTCAAAAAGTTTGTTTATTAAAATAAACTTATTGTGTGCGAAGGGCTTTTAAAATCTCTCTATCTTTTGATATATTAAATAAAAATTTAGTTATATTTAAAATAGACAATATAGCATAAAATAAATACATTAAATAAATATTAAATATGTTCCAAGTTCCAAATAACTTTATTAGGTGCCGCTCAAAAAGAGCAACCTAGATCATCATATTTACAATATACTGAGGGGGATGGTTATGTACAGGGGTTCATTTACAATTATAATTTATAATGATGTCGTTGGGTCCGGATTCTCAGGTCCTTGGGGATATTTTTCTTGAGAAGGTTTTTTCTGGCTTGTTTGATATTCAAGGTGGGTTTGTTTTTCCTTTTTTTTTCCACTTTTCGTCATTCTGGCTTAATTGATGGAGAATTTGTCTAGATTTTAAATTTCTTATTTTCCTTTTTCCGCATTTGTAGTTTGTGGCTTCCTTAAAGGTTGGGTTTTCTAATTTTTCGGATTTTTCGTAGAATTTAAATGATTGTCTAATAATGTAGTCATTGATGTTTTCGATATTTAGATCGTTCCTGTGGATTGTGTTCCGAACGAACCAGGGTGGAGACATGATTTTTCTGATCATTTTATTTTCGAAGACTTCTAGCTTTTTAAGGATGGTTTTATGTGCTGTTATAAAAATGGGGTGGCCATATATGAGTATTGGTCTTATTATTGATGTGTAAATGGTTCTTTTGCAATGAAGAGATAATTTGCTTTTCGGTCCTAGAAGTAGGGATAATCGGTGTTGGGCAGCTTTCGCCAAATTAATTGTTTTCGATGTGTTTTTTAAAGGTTAGGTGCTCGTCTAGGGTCATCCCTAGGTATCGGATGTTCTCTTTCCATTTAATATTGTCTTCGAAGACAAAAAGTTCGTCTAAAGGTTTCTTAATTTTGTCTTTTTTTCTGGAGAAAATTATTGCTTCACTTTTTTGGGGGTTCATTGTGACTCGCCATTCTTTACCCCAGAGCGTGGAAAAGATGCAGGCCTCTTGTAGTTTCATGTGGAGTCTGTCGAAGTCGTATGTCGAGGCCAAAATGGCGGTATCATCGGCAAATAGGTGTAAAGAGGTGTCTTCAATACAGGGGAAGTCATCTATAAATATGTCAAATAAGGTTGATCCTGTGACTGATCCTTGAGGGACCCCATCAAGGATATTCCTAGCTGTTGAAAGTTCGTCTTTGACTCGTACCTTGAATGTTCTATTTGTTAAGAAGTTTTGCGTTATTTTTATGATGTCTCCAGGAAGGTGCTTTTTGCACATTTTGTAGAGAAGGGCTTCGTGCCAGACTTTATCGAATGCTTTGGCAATATCGAAGAATACGGCTCCTGTTATTTGGCCTAGGTCCATGGCTTTTCTTATTTTTTCAGTGACAACAACTAGCTGGTGCAATGTTGAGTGCTTGGCTTGGTAGCCAAATTGTTCAGGTCTGAGTGGATTCTTTTCTTCTAGGGATTTTCTGAGTCTTCTTAAAACAATTCTTTCGAATAGTTTTGAGATGGCAGGTAACATATTAAATACCTGGTTCAAATTCACATAAATAGGTACCGCTCAGCAAGAGCAACCTAGTTCATGATAATTGAACAATGAATAATATGTGAAGGTTATTCACATATTAAACAATTTTTAACGCGGGATTCAATCCCGGTTCATGACTGTCGGGAATCGAGGGGGTTACCCACTCGTCCACCGACTTTTTTGT